AGCAGCTTCTACGTCCTGGTAGAGGCAATTGGCCAATTTGGGCCCGGGATGAAACCCCCAACCCCATATGAGCTTTCAGAGCCTCTTTTGAAAAAGAGGGTGAGTGTCACGTTGGAAGCTGTAGAAGTTAAGAGGATGCACGGGCTCAATATGGGGTTTCTATTATGACTAATGCTTGGAGTGATAGGAACAGAAAAAGTCAGATGAATTTTCTTGTGAATTGTCCTTTAGGGATTGTTTTTTTTAGGTCTATTGATGCCTCTGATCATATCTATGATGCCCATTATATATTCCAAGTTTTAGATAAGGAAATCAAGGAGGTTAGGAAGCATCATGTTGTACTGGTTGTCACAGACAATCCTGCTCCTAATGTTGCTGCAGCTAATTTGTCGCGCATAGCTCATCCTAAATTCTTTGGACACCATGTGCAGCATATTGTATAGACCTCATGCTTGAGGCTCTTGGCGGTTTAACCGAGATATCAAGTGCAGTGAAGAAGGCAAAGTCAGTTAGTAATTTCATTTATGGCCACCATCTCACCCTCAGCATAATGCGTAGATTTACAAAGAAGAAAGAGATTGTGAGGCCTGGGGTCACGAGATTTGCGACCTAGTACCTATGCCTAGATAGTATACATTTGAGGAGAGTGCAGTTGAGACAGGTGGAGAGCATGCAAGTGGTCCAAGGATCAGGTCGGGAAGAAGGTGAGAGATATTATCCTTTCTAAGGCCTTTTAGCGAGGGGTGAAGGGCGATCTTAAGGTAATTTTCCTCTTGTCAAAGTCCTTTGCATGGTTGATAGTGACAAGCCTTTTATGGGCTATATATATGAGGCTCTGGAGAAATGCAAAAGAGAGATAGCCCAAAATTTTGATGATGATGAGAACTGCTACAAGACTATTTGGGATATTATTGAAGAGAAGTGGGATAGGCAGCTACATCGTCCATTGCATGCAGCTGGTTATTATTTGAACCAGTGGCTTAAAAAAAGGATTGGCGGCCCGGATCGGGCACCCCAAAAACACATCCGGATCGGTGAATCGACGATCCGAATCGGGAATCGACCGAATCGATCGGATTAAGCTTTAAAAAAATCTAAATAAATTATTTAAATTCATTATAAACATTTCTTTTTTAGGAATCCAATAAGAAATCGGAGTACTACATTATTAATTTTCATTTTTTCATCAATATGTTAATATTGAGATGTTTTTTCTCCGTATGAACTTATTTGACCATTAAATTTACATCACACAAAAGAAAAATCATAGAATTATCATGAATGAAATATATAATCATACATGGACTACAATAAAGAATTGTTTAAATCGATAAAAAATAGCCACCAAAATCTCGAATTGGTCGAGAACATTATATACTGAAATTGAACTTGTCGGTTTACATTTTATAATTATTTTATTATACAATAATAACAAATTCAACCTCATATTTTTTTACAATAAATACTTGTTGTATTACCTTTGATCTCTTTTTTTTTTGACAAAAACCTTTTATTTCTTATGACAACAACTTTTTATTTATTTTTTTATCAGAAATGCTTGTCATATTACTTTCCTTTTTTTTTTTACAAGAAATACTTGTTGTATAACCTTTTTTTTTTTTTTACAAGAACCTTATATTTTTTTACAATAAACTTTTATTTTTTGACAAGAAAAAGAAATTTTGTTGAACCTTATATTTTTTTAACAATAAGCTTTTATTTTTTGACAAGAAAAAAAAATTTTTGTTGTATTACCTTTTTTTTTTTTGACAAGAACCTTATATTTTTTTTTTTACAAGAAATATATTTTTTATAAAAAACTTTTATTTTTTTGTTAAAAAAAACATATTTTGTAAAAAGGAAAAAAATTATTTGTTTGTGAAGGACCGATGGCACCTAGGCAAGAATTGATCCTGCGACGCCCATCGCGCTCAAACAGCGCGCTAACCACCACGTCAAACGTTAAGTTGTGATACAAAGAGGCCACTTAATAATTATATCATATTTCTTTCTGAGCTATTACCTTGATACAATTGTCCCACGTCGAACCCACAGAACAAATTTGGTAAGGATAAATAGTCTTCTACTACTAAATCCAGTCGCGGGCAAAACACACGTAGCAATGAGACTTAGTGGTAGAGCACGTGCGTATGACAATGGGTGCCCATTGTAACTCCAAAAATTACACAAATACCCCTTGTGACTCATGATGTCATGCGCGTGCACAGAACCGAACGAGTTATGACGTCATCCGACGATTCACTGTACAGAATCACCGACCTTTCTCTAGAACCGGGCAATTCCCGGTTTTACAAAAGAATCGACATGGGATGACCGATTCCCAATTCGAATCGACCGATTCTGTGCCGACTCGGCGAATTTTAAAACACTGATTTGAACCCATCTTTTTTTTATGTTGACAAGGATATACATACAAATAATATAATTATGACTGGATTTAACAAGTGTGTAGATGTGCTAGTCCCTGATCTTGATATCCTGGATATTATATGCGCTTATGAGCTGATAAATTACAAGTGCTCATTAAAGTCTTTTGAGAGTTCAATGGCGATGAGGCAAAGGACCAAAATTGATCCAAGTAGTAATAATATTTTTAAGTTCATCATTCTAGTAATCAACTTTCATTTTTATAATTCTACTATTTATTTATGATTGTATTCTATATCTTTGCAGCCTATTGGTGGAGCCAATATGGGTGTAGTCCTCTAAATTTATAAAAGTTGGCCATTCAAATCTTAAACCTCTTGTGAGCACAATTGGAGTACTTTTGAAAGGGTAAGGCCATAAGGGTAATTTGTATAATTATATTACTAATACATGAACCATAGATTTTAATTAGTTTCATTTCATTTTGTTAGATTCATACAAAGAGAAGGAACATGCTTGAATCAAAGAGGCTCAATGACCTAGACAATGTCAAGTATAATCGATTCTTGAATGACAGGTTTGCTAAGAGAGATAAGAGAGACCCCATCAGATCAAAAATATGGATTATGCTATGGAGTGATTAGTTGATGATGATGAAGTCGTGGGGCACGAAAGATTGACGTGGGACATGGTCATGGATGCTTCAGAGACATTAGCTGACCCTCCTTAGGCCACTAGATCTTCTGCATAGAGAACGAAGGTGGAGGAAAAAGAGGCACACTCAGAAGAGACGGATGAGGACGACCAATATGTCGAGGAGGGTGACGACTCCGATGAATATGATGCCAATGCAAATGACCCTAATTTTTCTGATGATGAATGATGAATATTGAATAGTTATTAAATTTTGAACTTTAATTGAACTATGAATTTTTAAATTTTAATTGGATATAGATTATGGACCGACTTATGGTTATGCTTATGGAGTGTGTGCTAATGTGTAGTATACTTTGAATTATGATGTGCCCTAAATACCAAATATTTATATTTTATACAATATATAACTGTAGAATCCTTTTTGGATTCAACTGGGCCGCCAAGGTTCTGGGCGCCCACCAAGGCATTGGGCGGCCTAGACCCCCCAGGCCACCTAGGACCCGCCTAGCGCTTTTTGAAACACTTCAGGAAACTGAGAAAGCTTAACTATGGTGGGGGTAAAATTTGGTTACTTGGAGTAGCAAAAACCATATTGTAGTCCCGTGGTCCAGTGCACAAGTTGAATGTTGGGGCATTTCATCAACAGTATATGAGCTTTTAGGGCTAAAAACACTCCTAAACGATCACATCACCTATACCAATGCCCTATGACAATCAAACTCTAATCCCGTCTTCTATGAGAGGACAAGAACATCGAGGTTAATAGTAATTTTACCAAGAAAATGGGGCAGCCAAAATCATATCCACTTCATATACAAGCACCGAAAATCAACTAGCCAATATTTTACCGAGTGAGTGGGTTGAGACTGTCTTCACATCATCATAGCAAGTTGGGCATGCATGCATGCGCCAACCTATGGGGGAGTGCAGAAAGTGAGTATATTTTTTTTCTAAGGACATATGGGATTTTCTCATTCGTTAGTATTGTTTTTGTCATTCCTTAGGACTCTTAGTCCTTCGGTAACTTATGCCAGACAAAGTTGTCCTTGTAACTTATTATATGTATAAACAAATAAAACGCAAACTCTAGGCCTATCTTTTGACCCCCAATGTGGTCTCTTTTCCCTCTCACTCTGTGTGCTTTCTCTCTCTTGCCCCTCGTTTTCTTATGCTCAATGTGCCTTCTCTCTCTTTTTCTCTCTTGCTTTTCCTCATCTCACTTGCAGTCATTGTTTCCCTTCTCTCCTAGATCTAGGCTCACAAACTTTAGACTAGCGCAATTCAAAAATAGGAGTTGAGCAAGCCCTACGAACACTCACCAAGTTTTCTAGCGAAGTCCCAATAGCTGGTCCCAAAAGAAATATACATATTTTTTTGGATATTCTAGTTTACTCAGATAAGACCTGGCGAGTCAACTTGGAGAAGTACCAGGTCACCTCCCTATTTGAGCCCAGATTTTTAGACTTTGTCCAGCATCAAAGGTTTGACAGCATAGAACTCAATGGAATTTTAGTAATAGGCTGCCAAGTGCAACCAAGTCCCTAAGTCATCTTTCAGGACTCACTATGAAACAAATTTGTACATTAATCAGGAAAATAACCACAAAGTTCAAGATGCAACCCAAATTTTCTCAATTCTATTAAAAAGGAGAATCCTTGGGTCAGCTATATATGCAGAATCACAGTCTTGCAGAAACATTCAGTCTTCAAACTTCCTCCTTAAAACTCCTATTCGAAAATTGTTGTGCACAAACTACAGAACTACATGGTGCATGCCACCTTCCTGTCAGTTTAACTAAATAAATATCTAACGCAACATTTCCAAAGTCAAAACATTATGAATCTGGAAACAGCTGATTGCAAGTACATGCTAGAAGCAACAAACCAACATATTGTAGATTAAGTGTTTTTTTCATGAGATGTCCTATAAGCATCTATGATTTACTGAGTGCTCACCTCCAATGCTACACGATAAGTAAGCCGTTCATCATGTGCCTTCAGTCTCTCACCTCCTACTCTTAGAAAATTTACAGGCATACTGGGCAAACCAAGTTGTGAAGATGTTGATTTCTTTTGCACCACTGGAGGAGCATCACCAAGTATTTCAACATCATTTTCAACATACATATTACCTCTCACGAAATCCTTTTCATTATCTTTGTTAATGCCTGCACAGAATAAAAGAAAGCAGTGTTTACGAACTCAGCGAGTCGACTCAGGACTTGCCTGAGTCAACTTGCCTTGGGACACTGGCGAGTCCTGTAGAGGTATCATAACTCACCCGAGTTTGCCACCTTTCAGCCCTTGCAGGGCCTGTTAACAATAGACTCGGGTGAGTCTTATTGAGACTCCACCAACTTAAACTGGATGTGACTTGACTCAGGACCCTGCCAAGTCCCAAACTTGAGTCTGAGCTTTTAAACACTGAAAGAGAGTGATCCCCTGTTCCAATATTAATATCTACATCATGAGACTTACATGACTGAATGAATTACAAACTAGGTGATTGTGGCTTGGAATTACCATCATGGTCACCATTCAAACCTGCATAAGGTTTGTTTAACTGCCATCTACAAATGAACCCACTGCAGAAAGGCATGAGGCTTACCTTTCTGTCCTCCCAAAACTGATGCAGCTCTAGTTTGTGTAGCTTCATGACTTCTCTTAAAATTCCCACACCATTCATCAGTGTGCATAGACTGAAATGAACCAAAAGAACCTGCAGGGACCCATTATTTCATGTCATAGGGGCATTTTAAGTATATAAAAGCAAATATGGCCCTTCCAATAATTCACCTTTCCTACTAGCCTCATCCTTTTCATCTTCACTGTCTGATAAAGTAAGATCCACCCAATCACTAAAGCCTGGAGAGAGTTTTGCCTCTAATGAGACCAGCTTGGAAGAATTGTCACAATTCAATATTTTAATCTGCGAACGGCCATCGTCATTGCTGTTACAATTCCCATCATATGCCAAATCCTCTGGTGCATTCCGGGTTAACAGTAATGATTCAGACAAAGGACCACTTCCAGTATTTGGCATTTTGGAGTCAATCAGCTGTGTGGCATCCGAATCACAATATATGGGATCTCCAGGTGATCCCAGAGATAACCATTCAGGTGTAGGAATTGGGTTATCACAAATAAAATTTATGTCGTCAGAAGTTGGTGAACAATTCATATCCATAATGCCATGCTCAAAATTTTCAGGTGGCTTCTGATATAAGCCTACAGAATCAGGAATTAAGCCATTGTTCCCAATACGCATATAGGTACCTGTGTGCCGAGAAATATCAAGATTACCATATGGAGAATCCTCAAGAGGGTTATATTGTAACCTCTGAGATGCAGGTGTTTGCTCAATCATTTGGTTGCCACTCTGGTGGGACATATGAACAGAATCATTCACAGGATTCTGATATAGCCATTCAGGTACAGGAGCTGAGTTGCAGTTATTAAGTTGCACTTTGGCGTCTGCCTGCTCCGAGATACCCAAATGACTACCATCAGTTTCTGAGGGCTGGCCAGAATCATCTGATGTCCATCCAGATGCAGGAACTGGTATGTTGATATCAATTGGTAGTTTGATACCAGTTTGATTTTTTATATCCATGTTACCCCACTCAGTTACTGAGGACAATCCATCAAGTGAAGAAGCCTTCACAAATTCTGGCAGACCTGCAAAACAATTCTGATATTATTTATTACGAACAAAGGAAAATATCAGAGGAAAGCACTACACTCCTGTCCACAAATCATTCAAATCAAAGTTCCTAAACAGACAATAAAAAAGAATTAAATGATGTCATTACCATATTGATGTGCAAGTACATTCTCAGGACATGGTGTGGCAGGACTTGTCCGGCCTTGGGACAAGTCCTTACATGATGGATCCTCTGATCTCTCCTGAAAGTAAAACGTTTATATAAGGATGCAACCTTATAATGTAGAACTACGGATGCACCTCAAAAATCAATAGGAAAAGGTAGTTTTAATGTTGAAAAACCCTTTGATTGATCATCTCGACATCAAGATGTATGACCATGAAAAATAAAAAGATTTTAAGTCTCAGAAATAGTGCATTTTACAACATATTTCTACACCGTCCACTTTCAAGATTTTCATATGTTTATAGATCTACTTGATTTTAACCATTTT